CAGCTCTGGTGGCAGCTAAGAAAATGGTACCGTACCTCGTGTGCCTAATAGCCCTATAGTGAGCAATATTCATTCCTCATGCTTTTTAGTATTGGCTCCTGTCTCTAATAACTTTGAGATCTCATGCCCAAAAAGCAGACTGTAAATTTGAGACTAAAACTAAAATTAAAACTTGTGAAGGAAATAATGCTGCAAAGCCCAGAATACTTAGCTTTTCAAAATAACTACACATGAAATAATATACATTGTCTTAGTCAACTTGTATTTATTCCTAGTAATTGGGATGATTTGAATACTCTTCAATGATTCTCAAATCTGGCTATATATTCACATTACCTAGAGTGATTTTTCTTAATACAGATTCCTAGGCCACACAGATAAAGCTCAGTAATTTGTATTTCTGAAAGCTTCCTAGGTAATTCTTGCATAGGCAGCTAGAGACTGCCAAGCTGATGAGTTGAACCACTGAACAGGATCGTTTCTTAATAAGGATGGGATGGCAGTGCAGCACTGGACTGAGGCTGTGTTCCGGTCATAACATATTGGAAATAAAAATGCAAACTTTAATTCTTGACATTGCAAGTCCTTCCAAAATGTCACTCCCTTTAGTCATCTTAATATCTGCAATCAGCACACACATGCACACATACATATACCCTCAAACACACAGAGATTATTCATTACTTTATAAAACTGTAAATATTTTACAACATGAGATTGGCTATATCACTGACCTTTTTTATGAAAGCGAGAAGGAAAAAAGGAAGGAAGGAAACAGAAAGCAGCAGGACAAGAATGCTTAGGTTTCATTTGTTTGACTCAAGTGTGAGGAAGGAATTTTGCACACTATCTCAGTATATTCTGACAAGATTTATGTTAATCTGTTTATAATATCAGTGTTTGTTCTTCATTCACCACCTCTAGGATCCTCATACTGAGTCCACTGCTGGGGCCAATTTATCCGTTTAACAATAAAGTTCAGCCATGTTAACACAAGTTATGTGTATATTAAATCAACTGCTTATGAATGAAGTATATTCACATCAAGAGCTACCCATAAGGAATCATTTGGATTGGAATATGTTAACCTCTGATTACTCAGTCTCTCATATACTCTGTTTTTCCAGCTCTGTCTCATAAAATAGGCTTTCAGAAGCCTCTGAAATAACATAATTTTTGTAGTTGAAGATCTGTAAGTTAATAATAGAAATACCTCGGCTGCAATATGGGCTTGGTCCTTGGACTTGAGTTTCTAGGTATTGTTGGCTGAAAGGCACCTGATGTTGCCCAAAGCCTATTCAGAGTCCTTTATCAAGTGCTTGGAGTCCGATTATATTTTGAAGAAAAAGCACAGGGAAAAGCTGTAGGTGTTGGCAGTGCCCCAGCACAACTGGGAATGCTTAGTTCACTTCAGAAGTGCATTGTTACTTGGGCCTGGAGTGGGTCTTCCTGTCTGCCTGAGGCAGGGATCGGTAACCCTTGCTGTGGCCATATTAGGTTCAGAGGCACCAGGAGAATGGGGTTTGTTGGGGCCAGGGTTGAGGGAGGGAGCTGGTTTCCAGTGACAGCATGGAGTAAGACAGGGTCATGATAAGCAGAAACCTACATGTGCAACTAGGCCCTGATGATCCATACACCTGCCCTCAGCAAGTCACGATCACAGGGCGCCTTCAGGAAACCTCTGTAATGACAGTTGTAATCTTGAGTTCCTTTTTGATATCTCCCAACCTCAAGTACAGGATTTCAATTGGTAGCGATATTTTTGTACAAAACACAGAGCTTGGTGATTTTCCAAACTCTGAGGCTTTGCATTTTCTTTGCACGCATCAATTTAATTTTGTTTTATTGCTGGAAATCTTTGGAACATTTTGCAAAATTAAAAGCCCTGCTGCACCACTTGTCAGTGAGATTCTGAGAAGTTGTCTCATTTTACTCTGTTTCCTGGAGAGGCACATTTTTGCACTGTGACACTAAAACACTATGCCCCTGATACTGTTGTCAATGGACAAGAAGACCAAGTGTGAGACCATGAGAGTTCACATTTGAAGTGCTGAATCCATGGACTCACTCAAAGTCTCAGGGATCAGTGTTGGTCTCAGAGTCCTAAGAGGTCATAACTCATTGGACTCCAAACAGCCATATTTTAAGAGGGAATTCCAAAATAAAGTAGAAGAGATGGATATCAAGGCCGGCTTTAGACAGTTTGGTCATCTGTTACATAGGAGCTATGTCTTCTTTCTTTCTCTTGATGCCACACTATTTAGCCAAGACAGCCAACAATGTGTGTTCTGCAGGCATTCTTTGTTATTATGGCTAATGTTACCTATTTATCAAGATTCCCAAAGCAACTGCTGTGCACTGTGTTTGGAGATACATATGAGGGTATCTGACCTTGTTGGATAACTGATTGATTATTTGCAGCGACTGTCTATCAAAATAATACTGATGCCACTGTGAATCTCTGCTACTGATGCCTAGTCATAAAGTGACTTCTTCAAAATAGTTTCCTAACAGAACACTAAACTGAAGGAGCTAGATGTACCAAATTATATTTTAATGTATCCTTTTGAGAGTGGGTTAATGCCATTTCCCTAATTTAATACCACTTGACTTCTAATGAGATATCCATTTACATTCCCTTTTAATCTGCCACACTAAAATGCATCCTGTCTGCAATAGTTTTTAGGTAAGAATAATGTATAGATATTAGTCAAGTGAAATCCTAACTATGACTCATTGTTAATAGTTTTAATTCCTAAATGGAGAATATGTGGACTGTGCTATATAGGACAAATAAAAATGTAATAGGTTTTCACAGCTTCTAAATTCTGTGACTGCAGCTAGAATGAACGGCCATTTTATGCAGTAACTTGCAAACACGTAGCAACAGCATAACTAATAATCAACTGTCCTAGGTTGGCAAAATGGAAACAGATTAGAGTATTGCCTCAGAATCTAGCTTCAAAGATACATTTAGATTATATTGTTTGAAAAATGCAGTTTACATCCTGTCTGTGATATATAATAGGTCTCTGGTATCTTTTTCATTGTCACATTTGTGACAGTGAAATGGCTTTTACTTCTCTAAGTAGGACCATATAAACTAAAAGGGATTGTTATTTTGACAAATTGAATGTATATACAATTCGTGTCTTGGGCCCTATTACCAATTACTGGATAATGAAGTGGATTTGCAATGATGCTTTTAAAATATGCTTGTCATAGATATTCTTAAGTATAGAGAGAACGATCATCTGTCTAGAATAGTTGCTCAGACAAATCTTCACAAAAAGCAGAGAAATAGATTGGATGATTGCTGGAAGTCCCTTTCAGCCGTATGGTTACAAAAACACATTGTTTACCACCGAAACGTTCATTGATTTACTTATTATCATCATAAGCTCTAAGTAAGTTCCTGTGCAGAATAAGCCTCCGTGACTTCAGCGAGCTTGGGGCTCTCCCCACGTTCCTGGGCTGTACAGAGCACACTGCAAGGGTTGTCTGTTTTTAGCATGAGGACTCTGGTGCTCCCAGCCTGTTCTGTCCACACTGATGGTAAACCTCCCCCTTCTTCTCAGTTAAGGAAGTAGTTTAATCTCCCAGTCCCCTGAAGAGACTCCTTTGTAATCACCCCATGAGAGCACCATTTTCTCAGCCTATACAACCCCCTTAAACGCCCAAGCCTTCTGGCCTCTGTGTTGTTCAAAACAGAAGCCTACTATACCCGGGGAGGAGAGGGACAGGGAGCTGTCAGAGTGCTCAGGGTCTAGATCCCCTTTCCACACTAAGTGTTGCCCTAGGGTCTCCATAAGTTTTGGGGTGCAATTACAAAAGTGATCACCGTTCTAACAAACACTTCGCATATCTATAAATGTTTTCTAGCTACACACTTAGAACTTAAAAATACTAATAAGTCTCACAGGCTACACTGGAGACTAGTTAATGTGCTCCTTCGCTGTGTTATGTTGTAAACAAATCATAATGCAGCCGAAATGCCTGACTAGAACAAGAAATGAATTACATTCAGTAGACATAAGCGATCTATGAGGATACCGTCTGGGGGAAGAAAGAGCCACTTCAGGGTTTCAAGGAAACCAATGTTTCCAGCTCATTAACCTCAAGAGAAACTTGGGTTTTATATCTGATCCAAAAGAGGGAAACTCTGGACATGCTGTGCTCCTAATTTCAGGGCGAGTCTGCGATAGTACTTTCATGCAGTGTTGATTCGTGGGAACAGCTCTGCATGTTAGCAGCACGCGCGATAGAAGCCTGTCTGTCACGATGGCGATTACTGGGCCCGAGGCTAGCGGTGTCCGCCAAGGGGAGTCACTGAACTGAAGAGTCCCGTCAATCAAACCGCCAGAGAAAAACTCTTCTATTTTTTGAAATCCCAAAGCCATAAAATAGACCTTTTTTCCCCTGGCTTATTTGACAAGAAGAAATAGCATTCTTGGCAAAATGTCCCTACGACCTCTTTGTCACTAACGCCAGCGTTGAGGAATTGGCTTCCAAGAATGGCAGGTAGGCTTAGGAAGCATCCAGGGGCCGGCTGGGTGGGGCTGGCGGGGTGAGGGGTGCTAACAAGTTCTGTAGCAGGAAGCTGCTTAGGACAACGCCCTCGAGCGCAGAGCACAAGCTACATAGATTTATAAGGGCTGAGTTGAAAAGGGTCCTATACAGCAAAGCATTTCATTTTAACCGACATTCGCTAGAAGATGGCAGAAAGACTTCTGTGATCCTACTTACGGAGAAATCTGTTACTGGGAAACTTGATTTCCTCTGGATTCCATGCTACATTAATTATATCTAAGAGATCCATTTACTAAGCAGACATATGATGCTTTCTCAGCATCTGAAATCCCCAGTTATATGTATTCTCAGTCCAAGCACTAATCTGTCTAAAGAAGCAAAACTACATTTGCTTAATAGGTTACAGTTATATAATATGCCAACTACACAGTTGCAGATTCTGAAAACTGAATAGTGTTGTGTGTGAAATGGAATTATCCAGAAGAAGAGAGATGTATAAAAATAGGTAATATCCCTAAAAGGTTTTGCAGAGTTACAATTCTTCCTGCTGGGAAGGAGACCATAGTGCTATGATGTACATATGAAATGTCTGTTCAGGAAAACAAAATTAGAAAATATCCCCCACATACCATCTCACTAAATGTAGGAACTGATCGTCAAAACTGGCTCTCAAAAGTGATACAAATATATAGGGAAAGATACCTGTATGTGTGACAAACAAGAAAACATGGAATCTATTAATTGTTTGGTTTTGAAAGGGGGCCCATACTTGTGATTAAAATATATATATGACCAAAAGCATTCATATGGATGGACACTTCTTATTCCCCCCCATTTTTTTTATTGACAGTCATCACCCACCTTTTTCTAGGATTATTGCCTAACAACACAGAAATTCTGCTGCTTGCTCTCAGCAAATCAGTAGAAGAGAAACAATCTCTTTCCACTCTCCCTTCATGACCCATGTTCTGGGCTTGTGCTTTGTGGAGAAGTCTTTGATCTGCTGAAGATCTCAGAGGCTTGTTTCCCGGAGGAACATGGTGCCGATGTTGTAGGAAACTTTCTTGATTCTCGATGAAGAAAGAGAAGGCTTTGGCTGCTTAGGACCAGTCCTTACCTCCAGGAAATAGCAGATCCCTGGGATTTCCTTTGGAAAGTTATCTGGAAGCTCTTCACGGGACCGAGGAATGAATGTGAAACTTTCTTCCCGTTTTAATAATCTAAGAAGAAAATACAGATAATGTGAATCTAATAGTTCAAATAGACAGGAGAAGGGAGAATAAGCAGATAGAAAATTTAAAGGCTCAGGAAGCCTATCAATGATCAGGCTCATGTTGACACCACTATTTATTTGTATAAATGTGGCCTTCCTGGGACTCAAATGCCAGGAAGTGTTGTTTCTCAGGAAAGACACTTTCATGTTATAATTTTTAAAAGTTGCTGTTTCTGGTTCTACTTGAAAATATTTTTCAAATTTGGCTTTTTTTCTAAAAGGCTAAAGTTTTCTTTAGAAAACTGTACAGTGCAAATTCTTTTTTTAAAAACATTTATTTATTTATTTTGAGAGCACGTGTGCATGCACACAAGTAGGGAAGGGACAAAGACAGAGAGGGAGACAGAGAAACCCATGCAGGCTCCACACTCAGCACAGAGCCCAACACGAGGGCCCAGTCCCACAACTGTGAGATCATGACCTGACCCAAAATCAAGAGTCGGATGCTCAACTGACTGAGCCACCAGCTGCCCCATGTATAACACAAATCCTTATTCGAACATGTTGTACTTACCCTTTCTGGTTTTAAAACCTGCCTAAATTCTGGAGCACTCCTCTTATGTTTTAAAGATTCTCTGTAGGCTTTAAATGTGTGTCCTGTTTGCCAGACACATCAGTTATATAGCACTGTGGAGCATTCATGACTTTAGGTATCTTCAGTAGTTGGTTACAGATCTCTAGCAATACATGTTTTGTGACCTCCAGTGTCTACTGGTCAGACAGTGTGACTCTTCCCTTCCAGTCACACTTACTCTTTACTAGTACACGAACACCAGAGACTTACTTTTGTCCAGGTCCATGAAATGTTAAGGTTGATCCCCAGACCAAAAGCTGTGGCTCAGCTATTCAGCTTAACTCAGTAGCCCTCCTAGGTTGCTTCTTACTGCCTGGGAAAAATCTCCTAGGCACTCTTGTGAATATAATCATGGGTAGAACACCAACTTTTTTCAACAAAGATGGAAACATGGAATAAAAGAAGTGGAAAATAAAGACTGAAAAGCAAAGCCCACAGTAATAGAGAAATGTATGATGAGTATCAATGCATTTCCAACCATTTGATGGCGTTATACAATGAGGAAAGAGCGAGAAGGCTGACACAGTAGGGTAAGACAGCAGTTTGAAATCCTAAACTAAACATGTAGTCTCCATTTGGAAGGCACAGTGGAGCCAAACCTCGCATCACCCCTTTCCTAAAAACAGCTCGTTTTCCTGAGCTGGGTGAATGGAGACAGCCGATCCAAAGGCACACAGCGTAAGAGCTGGGTCAGGTTCCAGGACCAGCTGTGGTAGAATGAATGCAGGGATGAAAAACGCAGTGAGTGCAAGGAGAACGAAGTACCTGAGGGAAGGTGAGCTCACTGCACAAGCACTGATAATCATCTTCACACTGAGAGGGAAAACACATTCTTTGATGTTTAATGGATAAAATATCTGAAAACAGCTTGATAGTACTAAGACTCCTTATAGTAGGAGGAGCAATCTGCATTTACTTTTACGAATGGGGGTGGTACTATTTTGCTTTGTAAAGGATTTTTAAACTCTGGGTTTTTTTTAATGTTTATTTCTGAGAGAGACAGACAGATGGAGGGGGTAGGAGAGAGCGAGGGAGACAGACACAGAATCTGAGGCACACTCCAGGCTCTGAGCCGTCAGCACGGAGCCCGACGTGGCATTGGAACTCACGAACTATGAGATTATGACCTGAGCCAAAGTGCGACGCTCAACCGACTGAGCCACCCAGGTGTCCCAAGGATTTTTAAATTTTAACTATTTCTTTAAAAATATTACACAGTGACTATAGTAACTAACTTGGAATGTAACAACATGAGGCTGTTTCTAACATTTCAGAATTCTTTCTTCTTTTATCCTTATCATATAACCCGACGTAGAATCTAAACATGCTCTTCTCTGACAAATTTATGGTAAAAGTTCAGTTTCAGTTAGGCTGATTTGCTCAACCACTCTAACTTAATGTCTTAAGCAGCCTTAAGTGGTCAGTCCTTGAATAAATAATAAGACTACACTAAGGTAGGGTGCCTGAGGGGCTCAGAGTTTTAAGCCCAACTCTTGATTTCAGCTCAGGTCATGATCTCACAGTCTGTGGGTTCAAGCCCTGCTTAGGGCTCTGCACTGGATTCCTGCTTAGGATTCTCCCTCTCTGCCCCTCCCTGACTCATGCTCACTCTCTGTCTCTCTCAACATAAAGAAATAAACTTAAAAAAAAAAAAAAAGACACTAAAATAGCTTCCCATGATGAAACAATTAAGCTGAGATTTGGTAAGGCATTAATGACAATCACAATGGAAGTTGTTGGTACTGTTTGCTTTCTTTTTTTTTTTTTTATAGATGTCAATTTTCTTTACATACAATATATAACCAGTCACTTCAGAAATAAAATGTAAGATTCCCTAAACAGTAGTTTAGGGTTGAACTCCACAATGACTTTGCTTAGCTCAAATAGAATGGTCATCAATGTGAAACGTTTGAGTATCAACCAACAAAGGTGTTGAGTGCTGGTGACATTTTATAATGGTCCTGTGAATGGACGAGAGGAAGTCAGGATGCCCAGAATGAGTTTACATAGATTTTAAAAGGCAAGAAATACTGATAGGAACAAACTAGCAGCAATGCAAGGTAGTCTATAGTAAAAAAGTCTATAGTAAAACATTTTATCCTTAGGATAAAATCCAAAGGAGGAAATTCTACAGGTTAACGGGAGAGATGATGACTTTGGATCTTAGTACGAAAGTCAAGAGCCAGAGCAATAAAGTTCACCTCTACCAATTATAAACTAGAGCCACAACCCCAACCTTTCAAACAAGTCTCCTTTTAGGCCCATGCAATAGATAGGACTCCACATGAGCTATATTCTTCTCTCTATATATACTAAGTCCTCTATTTTTTTCATCCTCTATTTGACTCACCAAGGTATTTATATTTTGTTGTAATTGAGATTTCTGACAGTGAAAAATAACATTGAGTTTACATCTACGAAAGTACTTATAAATGATGAAGCTGGGTTATTAACTGCTTTAGAGGCAGTGCTTTTAAATAATTCACTGCACTTTGGTAAGAAACTCTTCACAATGAATTGATCTCTTGACAGTTTAAATACGTCTCATATTTGTTGTGCTAAAATATCACAAAGACAGAAGCTTTTAGGGGGCTTTATTCTTCTCCAACTAAATATTTTGGTATTAATAAACTCAGTACAGTTTTAAATTTCAATAATATGAATGAGAGCACATAAGGGTACATTGATCCAAGCTCCTACTATATCCAGGACTTAGCAGCGTCTGTATAAATGAATGCTGAAGTGAAATACTGAGATGGTTTCCAGTAGAACAATCTGAATGATTTCCTGGTGAGTCTGTGCGGGAGGTCAGGGGAAACATTTCACACAGCATGCCTGGCAATGATGAGTTGTGGTGCTGAATTAATGCTCAAATGTGTATACAGGGATTAGGAATTTATACACTGATCGCTGCAGAACCTCTGATCCCCTCTGAAATGCTTTATTAAGTCCAAGTCCCCAAGCTGGCTCTAAAGCTCTGCCTAAGAATCTATTTCTTCAGCAACTTGGGATGATATGGAAGCTTAGAGGCCACACAAATCTAAATTTATCCCCAGCCGTAATCCCCAGCTGGTTGATATACGACCTGGGGGTTTTGGCAACATGTTTAATAAGTATTTGGAAGGCATGCAAATCCTAGCTCACCTACCTGTTACTATTCATTCTCTCTCAACAAAGTTTTTCCTACAAACTGATTTTCAAGATGAGAATACGTTGCTGCTTTGAATCCCTGGATGGTCCCCAAGTGTGAGGGGTGCTAGATACCATGGGGTCTCATGAAGCTGCTCCCTCACTGTTAGGAAAATGAAGCCATCTCTGATTCTCTCAGTTCTTATTTACACATCTCTGACCACATCAAGCTTTGTGCTCTATCCTATATTCTGTCCTGTTAATGGACCTGAAACTTACCCACACTGAGGTCCAAATGACCTAAATGTAATTTACATTTTAACACAGGACTCAGAGTTTTTAATAGGTAATAGAATTGTAACTATGACATTTCAGGCAACTTATTCTGGGATTTATTAACTCATGCAGATCATACTTAAATTGGCTTATGTAAAATACAGCTTGGTCATCTATAGGCTAAGGTTAGAATTTGGTCTTTCATTTTTCTATATACTTCTAGATACTCTTCTCCAGTTATATACATTGATTTCATTGTGAATTGTGGCCACTTGCTCTGTGTATTTCCCATAAACCTCTAGACTCTATTATAAGGAAAGATAACCAGTGATGCAGTTCTCAAGCTAGGCTTCATGCAGTCTTTGGTCAGTGAATTCAGCAGTCAGCCAGTCAAAAGTTAGTTTATTCAACGCCTTCTATGAGCTGGGTGCTGAGCCAGTGCATTTCTACTCCTAATCATATTAATTATGGGGCAGGAGAGGATTGAGAAGAAGAAGAATTTTTATTTTGGCTGAAAATACCGTTCTATAAAGTGGTCGGTTATATTTTGGTTTTGATTTAGCTGAGTGGACAGTGTGGACAGAACTAACCTTGCTGAAATTAATACATGTAGTTGCAGCCTCTATAGTGACTGACTACTATATGCAGTCCTCTATGACCTGTTTGTTTGAAGTCATCCTGTGAGATTAGAAAATCTTTGTTTCAACAACCGAAAAGATCCATGTAATGTGCAGAGAGCTCTGAGACACTGACCATTCAGGATGCTTACCAGAGTGGTCACTAACTAGTCTACTAATTACTGTGCTACCACTCACCAAAAGGGGCTGTAAGACCAAGGCAAGATAGGGTAATACATGCTGCATCTTTAAGAGGTGAGGGCTAGAAAGAATATCTGCATAGCGACCTTTTAAAGACATTGGATGCCTGCAATGTCTTTAGTTAACTCTCAGCTTGACTGGTTTCATTAA